TATATATATATATATATATAATTGGTTTGGTGTTACAACACCACCAATATTTAGATCGACCAACAATTAATCAACCAATCCAACCAACAGATGCAAACAGTAACCTCTCCAAGGCGCATTTCAGGGGCCATAAAATGTATTCCCACTTAAAGAGGCGTCTAAAATATCACGCTTTTCATTATTTAAGTTCAATAAGGGTCATCTCATTTATAGAGGGATTCACACTTGCGGATTCCAATTGTATTTACTTTAATTACAAATGTGAACATAAAAAATACAATACTTTCATAAGAAACTGTTTATAAACAGCGTGTTTTGTATTAAATTTTATTACGCAATGTAAACCGAAAAAAAAGATTAAAATGAATAGTACAGTAGTTTTGACATAATGCATTCTTTATAGGTTTTATTATGCGTTTTAGATTTTTCATATTCACACAGTTTCTTTAATTTTACACCCGCTGGGAACGAATTAACTATCGATTCACGAAATGTCATGTGCATACAACACATTGAATGATTTTTGTGCGCGTTGTGCGAACTATACTTGACATAATTTCTTGTTATTACACGTTAATAAGAAATGAAGAGAATGAACAGTCATTCCAAATATCGGATAATGCTATATGTTTTGGAGAAACCCAAGAATATCAAATCTTATGCCAGCGAACACCGAGAAAAGGCAGGATGGAAAGCAGTCTGACGATTTTTTTAACAGGTTTTACATTTTTCCTAATGGTTACAAATATGTCGGGAATTCAAAATTAGTCTCACTAATAGTATTTTCCTTCAATTGTTAATAAGATTTTTTTGTGGGATAAAGGCATATAGAGCTTAAACACAGTGTTTTCAAGCCAATCACATAAATGGTAAAAATGAAAGTAACTGAGTTTGACGACTATCTCATTCTATAGTGCTCAACTGATTTACAAAATTTTTCAGGTATAGTTATTATATCATGGATCACCTGAAAATGTTACTATCACTTTCAGGGATAGATGCGTATGTGAGGTTATACTCTAGTAATGACTATTTTCCTCAATTTTAGGGAGGATTAAATTTCACAATTGAATGCTCACACTTGAACATACGAATCAACTACAAAATAGTAATTAACGTAATAATCGTAATTTACTACAGAATATCAATACAAAGATTTAAAACAAATGCTTTTCCAATACTGATCGCAAGAATCAAAATAGTCATTAGAATTTTACTTAAGAAATATCTGGATTTTAACCCAACTGTTTCCAACGCTTAGATATACTTTATGCAATTCCCCAATCAAAACGAAGTGGATGGATGGTACTAGTCCGTCTAAAAAATAAAAAAAATTAAATATATGAAATATTTTGTTATTTTATATTCATTACATTCAATGAAAGACAGTTTCATGATGTATTCTATGTTTTCGCGTCCACAGCTTTCGCGACTTCTGATATTCTCCCAATACGGCGCCAATATCATTTCGATTATTTACGACCGTTCTCCCTGCCGCTCCTCCAGGGAAATCACGGACGTTCAGCGCCGAGACTCATTGTGCAAGGGTGAATGACTGGCACGTAAAATTTTATTGAAATAGGTGAGTAAATGTCTGCAGGGAGGTGGACAACATGTCAAAAAATCCGATGGTAAAACAGGGAATTGAGTGAGAAAAACAAAAACCAAATACAAATGAATTAATAAGCTGAAGCTTACATATATGGAAGTAATCCAACCTTGACATCATGTTGTTCAAGATGGCCGCTTCTCTTGCAGCATGATCGTTATGGACAATCGTTTATCATATCAGTAGTAACAAATAATAAGTAAGCAAATAAAGTACTAATTTTTCACTGTTCAGGATTGTGCCTGAGAGTAATAAATATTGGCCACGAAATACCGTACGCTTTATGAGTATGATGTCAAATATTCGAAAGAATGAAGATTAAATAATATCAACTTCAACAATATTACTGATATAGAAACTGAAAAGGGCGTTGCGAAAAACGAGACTTTCAGTGGAGAAGTCGTATTTTCTCTTGTGCAAATACACTTTACGGACTTTGTCTTACATATTATTCAACAATGAAGAAAGTCTACATTCATTCACCGGCGATTCCGAGAGACATAGCAAAATATGATAGAATTATAAACAATGCTGAAGAAAGTAAAAATGAATCATTGTACACTATTAGAAGAGACAATTATATACAAGGAGAAAATTGAAGGTAATTTAGAGAGTCGAACTTCATTCTCCAATTTTTAAGTGATCGATGGTAAAGTTACGTAGAATGAAAATTCTTTTTTTTTGTCTTCAGTAGAATTGATAATTTAGACATAGAATTTTGGGCAACTTAGACACTCAACTTTTAACTTACACACTCAAAATTTATTACAAGCACTTTTCATGGCTTAACGATAATATACGAACTACACTTATAGTGCCTGAAAAATTACTTTCCCTCATTCGGGACTAAATCACCAATTCTTCCGTCAATGACCTCATTTGCAGTTTTTATTATCTTAGTTACAAATTTATTTCGAAATCGAATCATCTCAACGAGACAATTCTTTTATTTATGTGCTCGTAACATCATTGCTAGTTATTTCAGAACTTATTATCTCTAGCAGTTGCGAGATGTTACAAACCAGCTTAGTTAACACGATAGGTTTGTCTCCTGTAAATATTTTTAAATTGGTAATTTATGCTAACTGGCCAGATCTAGCGTGCCATAAAATTTGATTAATCATTCTACCAACTTTCATCTGTCTGACCTCTCAGATTGCAAGTTTTATAATGTGAGTGGCTTTTCATTCCCAGGATACTGAAAATTAAAAGAAATGAAATTCTTTTATCAGGCATTTCATTATTTCTTAAACTAACACGCAAGGCACTTCATTATTGTTTTATACTGATGCACTCCACTCTTACATTTGTACAACCATGCAATTAATATCATTATGGGTTTCAGATTCTAGCATGTCAGGCTAATTTATTCAAATGAAACAGACAAATTTACACAATTCTTCAAACTAGTTATATAATCTCTTAATCTCATTTATTAATTGCGTAGTTGCCAAAACAAATTGGGACTGCAACAGAGTCATTTCCATAACATATTAAACATTAAAACATAAATATATTATCATTATTATAATCATTATTATTACGATTAACGATCTCATGAGTACAAATACCTTACTGGAATAATGGAACATTAAGTACACACCTTTCCCATTCTTTGCCAACTGCATGTGGAGTGCCGCAGGGATCGATTTTAGGCCCTATTCTTTTCATATTATACGTAAACGATATGCCCTCACCGATTAGAACCCGAAAAACAGTTCTCTTTGCGGATGATAGGAATATTCTTTGCAATAAAGAAACCGTAAATAGTACAATATCAGATATTTCACATTGGTTCCGTAATAACAAATTAAAAGTAAATGAAAAGAAAACGGTTTCAACGCAATTTTCCATTTTAAAATAAACAACTCTATACTCCACTTGAAATTAACGGTATGCCATTGACTGATTGATGTTAGGGTAACAAAATTTTTAGGTCTTTCAATTCAGTCAAACCTTCAATGGAAAGTCTATTTAAATGAATTGAACACTAAATTAAGTTTTTGACGCTGCGCTTTCAGATTTCTTTCAAATTCGGTCAGTCTTTATACTGCTCGTTGTGTATAATTCACGAATGTTCATTTCCGCCTGAGATATGACACAATATTCTGGGGAAATACATTTTATAGCTTCTAGACTTTTATATTACAAAAAAGAATTATACGAATAATTAGCAAGTCCCACCCACGTGATTCTTGTAAATCTCTTTTTATTAATCTAGGTATCTTTCCATTACCTTGTCTCTACATATATGAATCTGTGGTTTTTGTCAAAATTGACAAGGGTGGGAATGTATAATTAATTAAGGGTGGGAATATATTTTCAGCAAACGCCAATGTCTATAACTACAAAACTCGAGGTAGAAATCATAGTCATCATATGACAGTATCAACAGCTCACATCAAAAAGTTCACATGCAATATATGTACATTATTTTACAACACCTTGTCAGATGACATTAAACAATTAAATTTTATAAGCAATATTAAAGTTTAAGGCCAAGTAAAATCATTTCTGCTGTATTCTTCTAGGTTTTTACAAATCCCATCCACCATATTGAATACGCCATTTTGAATTTTTCATGTTTGATGTCACATTCGTCATTAGTCAGTTCGAAATTCCAATATAAGCCCTAATATAGCCATTATTTGGCATTTTGCAAGAGATGTTGAATTTCAACCACGTTTTAGGCATTTCGTCCCACTGTGCGACGACGCATAGCAATGATGACACAGGAAAAAGGCAGGATTTTTTGAAGGTTGGTATTGTCACAATTATGATATTTTCAGGAGTATAATTTGTTGGTGATCACTGTGTGTTGTTGGTGTGTCTGAGGATGGGGGTTATTTATAAATTATTGACTGATTTAGGTCTCTTGAATCCATTGTGGCTTGGAGGTAATTGTTGCACGCAATTATTAAGTCCACTTACGACGAACATTATTTTATTATCTCTGAATTATAATGATATAAATTATTGTTACACATTATGCGCGCATTACTACAACAACTGACGTACATGAAAGCTTGTTTATGCAGAAAGTGGTACATTAACTAGTGTGCGAGTGCTGTAAGAATCCTAGCGCTGAAGAAAACGTGCGCCGATATTACTTCTTCTCCGTTCGTGTGTAGAGGGAAAATATTATAATTATTAAAGTTCATCCCAAAATTTGTGTCTGTTTTAAGTAAGAATGAGAGATATGGTTTCTTCGATTGTTCAAGGTATGTTTATCGTATCAAACTTCCATTATGAATTTGAAACTATGTGATTTATATACTTAATATTATATATTATATTGAATGTACTAAATAAAAACTACACTTATCAATTACACACTACTGATAATGTAGTGAACATTAAATACGTTTTTTAGTTAAATAAATTTTGAATGTTTGTAAATGTTTATTTTCAATATGTAATTAATCTGACAAGGTACCTTGTTGCTGTGACCTGTAACTGCTCTGCAACGTGATTAGGCTTGTGGAGAGGAAGAAGTTCGTTTTTGACGCAACATCACTCTTTCAGCAATCACAGGAATAAAGCAACAATGTTTCCGTTTCTTTTAGCAAGGTTTTGTGTAACTTAAAACCTTGTTGCGATATATGGGTTCCTTTTCTCAGTGTATGACTGGAATATTTTTTTAGATTAAGAATTAAATGCGAATGGCTCTGCGCATTCGAAAGGATATTGAAAAGCTGTAAGAAGCGGCAAAAGTATATTTGGCTACATTAGACGGGAGTGAAAATTAAATGTTTTAGATGTAAAAAATTAATTTACAATCTTGTTCATGAAAGATAAAGAATGCAGTTTTGCATTGTGATGTAACTGAGAAAAATACGAATTATTGAAATTATACGGTGTACTCCAATACACCGAAGTGCGATCTTAATTTGGGCTTATTTCAAGTACCGTAACACAAAGAAAAAGTTTCTATTTGCGAAGTTTGCAAACAAATGACAAAACTCGACTTCTTTTAGACATATTTTGTACGTTTATTCGTAATTTCTTTATACGTATTTTCATTATACGCATGGTGACCAATTGAACAAACCCCTGAAATATTTAATTCAACGTTCTAGATATAACGTTTAATAACAGCCTATGTGAGCAATGGAGAAAACATTTCAATAGACCGAAATTTTGTTTCCACATATTTCATCACACAACACACACAGAGTCGATGCAACCAATATCCTATGGTACACGTTCAAAATCAAATCGAAAATACTGTTACACTCAGAATAAGAGCACATGCACTATAAAATATTACAAAATATAGCAACCAGTCCTAAACATGTATTATTACAATTTCTTATCAAAGAAATTCATAATTAATTAAACGACAAAACAACAAGATTATATGCCAATTGTGGAGCCGCTTGGTTAAGACCCCTTACATGAACAACACTTTGAAATGCTTCTGGTCAGGTCTCTTTAATTCCTTAACGTCTAGTGATATTTGGAGCATTCCTTTGTTTTAACGACCTCAGGAATGAATGTGATTTTTAAACACTTTTTACCACCGTACTTCACTATTTTATACGCTGTACTTAATATTGACTCAACTATACCATGGCTCCATAATCCGACCTATTACCGCACACTATCGATTACAAGGGAGAGGGTCGCAGTACGCCTGTTTGTGAAAAGCAATTATTCCGCTTCACTCCTCCAACAAAGTTCTTCACAACTTCTTTTTGCCCCCCCCCCCCC